CGGACATCACACCTTTCTTCGATGAAGCGCATGTTATTCGCACCACCCAACACACGGAACAACTAAGAACTTTGGAGGCACTGGAAATATTTAAAGCCGATCGTAAATCCGCATGCATTAATTTCAAAGAAGAAATAAATCTCTCTGCAGCATGGCAATTTTTAATTGACGATAAATCATAATATAGTTTATAAGACAAGTTTTATGACGTAATGCACACAATGATTCCCCATTGGTAGAAAATTACATTTGAAATAACAAGTGGATTCCTTCCGTTTTCGGAATTTTTTCGAAAAATAGCACGTTACGTTTTTTCAAAAACATTCGAATTAAAGAATCCGGTTATAACGAAAGATATAAAGAAGTAAGCCTGAAGAAGATCCCAGGAGGGGAATCGAAAACGTTCGCCGATTTTAAAGAATTTCGCACTGGTTAATGGTTAAGGGTAGGCAGTTGTTGGTTGTGAAGTTATACAACCCGGTGTGGTAAGAAAGCATATTAATTAAGGTATAATTCTACTTCTCTGTCTGAATATTCTTCCTGATTTGTTTATTCAAAATTTTTATTTCCTGTAGATATCTATTTCGCTCTTCAAGAGCTATTAAATTTCTTTTTTTTTAACATTCTTAATTAAACAACTTTTTTTTTCTGTTTTATTAATGCTAGCATATGATCTGATATAAATTTCCTCGGGAATACTTTTCTACTATTACTGTTTCTGCTTATATATTCTCTCTTTGGAAAATATTTATTAATAAAAGTCAATAAGATAATGTGCAGGTAGTCAGCTAGTTGTTTAGTTGTCAACTTTCAGGTATAAAAATAATTCCAAGAAAAACACAACAACAAGACATTACATAAGAGCAATGTTCCCTCTAATTTTTTTTTGTAGATGAGTGGAACAAATACTTCTCTGAGCAAAAAATTTTTCTGAGCATATATATAAAATCTTATTTTTTCCTATAAAAATTAGAATAGTTAATTATAAAGTAGAGCAGTGTTTTTCAACCTTCTTGAATATGCAACCCCTTTACAAGTTAAAAAATTCTGGCAACCCCCAGGGCCATATTAAAACTATATCAGTGATTTAAAAACTACATATTTAATTTTCTTTCTGTTCAGACGTAAATATTGATCGAAAAACCAATTGTACTGTAAAATAAACACACACAGCCTTCTCACTGAAATTGTAGTTTTTTTATTGTAGTGTAGGACCTACAAACACTTGTCTTTTTCTTTTACCTGCAACCCCCGTGTAAGGCTTTGTGACCCCCTGAAGGTCGTGACCCACAGGTTGAAAAAACACTGAAGTAGAGATTAAAATTCATTTTAAAACATACTTTTATACAAAATATTATCTTTTGTCAATGATTTAATGTATTTAATCGAAATATGTGCAGCAATAATCATGTTGCAGACAGAGTGAGAAATAAGTAAACAACAATTCAAATTGGTGTGCATGCTCAGCTGTGCGGCACATAAATTCTCGTGTGCGGTAACATTTTGAGCAGTGCGCAGCCGCGCAGTTTAGAGGGAACATTGCATAAGAGGTAAACAAAACAGTTACCAATTTTTCAGTAGATTACTTTATTTCTCTTTTCCACGACAAAGTCTTTCTCGGGTGTAAAGACAATGATCAGAAATCAAATCTTGATGTATAAAAAATTCAGACTCACTAACATTTGTTAAACCATAGTCTATCAGAGAGTGAGGTTTCTTAAATTGAAATTTCTCGTTTGGAAATCAGGTTAGATTCAATCTGTTTTTTGTTTTTTTATTACAAACATATTACTGTTTATGATTGTTTAATTTTTTGTATAATACAAATTTAAAACAATTAAGTTTCAAATTTTTGAAAAAAGCAAATAATTAATTTAAACAGATTTGCTGAATTTTCTACATTAATTGATTACACACATCTGTTTTCTTTTAAACAAAACAAACTTCAGCTTTATAGTAGGAGCAGAAAAGAATTTTATACACTATTATACAGTATCTCTAATTATTTAGGCTGGGAGATTAACTGTTTTCGGAATGGGAGGTACTGGTCTTGGCTCTCACCCTCTTTTGTTTTAAAAAATGGGATGTATTTGAAACATATGTGTCTTGATTACCAGTTTTTTCAAAAAAGGAACCATGATTTCAATTACAAGTATTTCTATAGGAAATCAACGGAGTTTTCTGATAAGGTAAAAAATTCTTAATAAATCATTGGAAAAATTATTTATCATAATGAAGAAAAAAAGAAATGAAAGAAGAAAATGAAGATAATTGAAAATTTATAANCAAAACAGCTACCAATTTTTCAGTAGATTACTTTATTTCTCTTTTCCACGACAAAGTCTTTCTCGGGTGTAAAGACAATGATCAGAAATCAAATCTTGATGTATAAAAAATTCAGACTCACTAACATTTGTTAAACCATAGTCTATCAGAGAGTGAGGTTTCTTAAATTGAAATTTCTCGTTTGGAAATCAGGTTAGATTCAATCTGTTTTTTGTTTTTTTATTACAAACATATTACTGTTTATGATTGTTTAATTTTTTGTATAATACAAATTTAAAACAATTAAGTTTCAAATTTTTGAAAAAAGCAAATAATTAATTTAAACAGATTTGCTGAATTTTCTACATTAATTGATTACACACATCTGTTTTCTTTTAAACAAAACAAACTTCAGCTTTATAGTAGGAGCAGAAAAGAATTTTATACACTATTATACAGTATCTCTAATTATTTAGGCTGGGAGATTAACTGTTTTCGGAATGGGAGGTACTGGTCTTGGCTCTCACCCTCTTTTGTTTTAAAAAATGGGATGTATTTGAAACATATGTGTCTTGATTACCAGTTTTTTCAAAAAAGGAACCATGATTTCAATTACAAGTATTTCTATAGGAAATCAACGGAGTTTTCTGATAAGGTAAAAAATTCTTAATAAATCATTGGAAAAATTATTTATCATAATGAAGAAAAAAAGAAATGAAAGAAGAAAATGAAGATAATTGAAAATTTATAAAATATAAAGCCAAATTTTAGCACACAAAGTTTAAAAATCAATGTGTGTTTTTGCTATATAAATATTTTTCCATGCCTTTGTTCTGACAGTGAATAGTGCATTTTCTTTTGTATATAAGGTTGAAATTATGAAAAAATATTAATCAGATCAATCTGAAATTGATATGAAACAATTTCACAATAATATGACCGCATTTTGGATAATAATATAAAAAAAAAATAAAAAAAATGGCTCATTGCACTATGCCCATATAATCTTTGCTACTTCATTCACACAGTCCTTACATTTTGTTTACAGGATGGAAAATACACTTTATTAACGTTTTTGAAAATATTTATTTTGTGTGTTATTTGAGACAAACCATGCATATTTTAATAGCAACTTTGCAATTGAGTTGTACATAACATATTAAAAATGATAAGATTAAATTATTGATATAAATGTAAAAAAACCACCACATACAGGGATCAAACCTGAAAACAAAATCTTCACGTGTGATACCCTAACTTATCATGTTTTGCTGTGACTTCGTGATTGTCTTTTGTTTTAATATTAATAATTGTAGAAAAACTTTTATCATAAGTTTGTTGAGAATGCTTAGTGGGTCCTGCAGCTTGGCAGAGTCTATATAAGTAAATACAACATAATCACCTCCAAAGGTGCATGAAGGACAAAAGGAAGGAGGACACTTGTAGAAATCAACAACAATAATAACACCAGGATGTGTTACAAAAATCGTACTCCTAGAACCTATTCCGGTGTGACAAAAAAACAAGAAAAAGTTCACCACAAACATTTTTGAACTTCTCCAGTTCTTCCTCAGGTGAAAAGAGAGTTTCTGATAAGGATTGTAAATTTACCAACTTTTTCATTTACCGGTAATTCGGTAAATGAAAATTAAAATACCGGTTTACCAGTAAATTTTTTTCTTGAAAAATAAAATTAAGGTGATAAAAAATATAAGTCATTATGATTTCCATTTCACATTTTTATTTCAAAGATATCAAATATAAAAAATATAAAAATTAAAGTGTTATTCTAAACAAACTATAATAATAAATATAAAAATAAACAGAAATAAAATAATACAGAAAAATAAAAATACAACAGAAATAATATATTGTACCTAATACCATTTTATTGATTACCATTTTTTAAAATTAACTTCTCAAGAAACTTAAATTATTTATAGTCTTATCTCTTAATTTTGATCTAATTTTTGTACAAAATAATCCAGATCCTGAGAATACCCTTTCTGATTCAACACTTGTTGGACAAATGGTCATTAAATTAAAATTAAACAAAAACTATCTCACATAAAATTGATAATGAGGTATATTGTTGCTTACACTTATTTGTTTTTTTTTTTTTTTTTTCTCAATGTCTCTTTAGCCCATTTAAATATCTATAAACACAATATTTTCTACATAGAAATTTCTAGTATGGATTTTTCATTTACCGAATTACCGGTAAATTATCAAATGTTTTTTTGTCAATTTATTGGTAAACCGGTATACAATCCCTAGTTTCTGATGGGACAGAGCAATCAGTTAAGGGTATATGTGAAAAAATAAAGAAAAATGTAATATGAGTCACAAATGACGACCCGTAGGGTAACAAGATCTTAGCGATCTTTCTTTTGTTTTTTTGTCACACCAGAAATAGGTTCTAGGAGTACGATTTTTGACACTTGTAGAATTCGTCCATAAGAAATTTTGTATTTTTTCAAAATTATAATCATCAATTTTGATGAAATTTTGTGGATACAAACTATTGGGTTCTCCTTGTAAGAAAATGCAGATCTTTTTGTTTAGTATTAGAAAACTATTTTAATATTTTATAATTTTGTTTTATTTTTAGAATACTAGATCATCATTATGATGACTATGGTGAGGGAAAATTAAAAGGTGACAAATTTTTTATAAATGAACAAAAATGAAATGTTTATTATTATAAGAAGCATTTCACAAATATAATTTTCATTTCTAATTTGTTTACAGATGATGATGATGAATGAAATTAATATGAAGAGTTTTTAGATAAAAATTTGTATGTGTGCCTTCTAAATCTCCTTTCAATTATAAAATTGTTGATGAGGTAAAAATCAAATGTTATAATAACACATCTTGTTTATGGATAGCCTTCAAAGTTTACTGGTCTTCAATCTATCAAGACCACTACTTGCATCTTGCTTGGATCATTGGAAGAGAGATCACAAACAGTACATAACTGTATCTAATTGAAATGATCCAAACTCAGCCTGATTCTACCTTATGTAACGTTAAATACTTAGATTACTTTAAACTTAAAACATCAACTAGGACTTATCTATTATTAGGACTTATTATACTGGATAACTGGTTCTGCAAATTAAGTAAACAAAGTCAGAAAAACAGTCTTTATTTATCACCTGAATACAAACACAATATCTTTGTGTTTCTGACCTGTTGTCCCCTCATCAGCAGATTTACCATCAACAATCTCTAAAAAATTTCAATTTAAAATTGGTACAAAAATTACATAAAAATTCCTGACAGTAAAATAATTTAAAACTTCAATTCCTGGGTTTTTAAGTACCTCCTCGAAACTGACAATATTTAATGCAATATTCAATAATATCAATCCAAACATATTCCTGCTTTTAAAAAAATATAATTAATTTAAAATAATGAAGATTGGTTTAAACATATTCCAATAATAAACTTGCATCAACAAGCTTTTGCTTTCCCTTGAACATCGTTTTAACCCCACTTGATTTCTCCTTTTATACTTCTCTCTCCCTCCATAGATGATGCTGTTCCATGATTAGTCTAGTCCTGTGTTTGTTATTTATTCTATCTTTTTGTTTAACTATATAGATGTGTTTATACAATTGTCTTTTATAATTTATTTTTCTCTTTTTGACAAGACTATGTCTTATTTATAAAATCGTACTACCGGTTTATGTTACCAGCTTAGAGGTATGAAGGAGTACATGTCAAGAGTTGATATTTGGCACAGAGTATTAGGTGCCCAAATCATTTGCGCATAAAAAAATCCAGACTTGTAAGTAATCAGGGGACCGAGAACCGACCCTCTTCTACAACAGGCACCTAACCCCACCAAAGTCAGGTGGGGAGAATATACCTGGTAGCTAGGAAGGCTTGCATCCTGAACAGGGAACCATCCTACAAGAAACTTCCTCATTCATGGTTAAAAAAACCAGCTTACCAACTTAGCACTCAACGAGTGGCAACACGAATGGGAAAATGCAGACACAGGGAGGAAAACTTGCGCCTTCATTCCATCTATTACTCACTGTGTCAAGGCCACACACTACACTCCAAATGCCGAGACTACCCAAATTTTGACTGGGCACGGCAACTTTCATGCCATCTCCACCGCTTCGGTAAAATGGACAACAACCTCTGCGACTGTGATGAGTCCAGTGAGGCACAGCGGAACACTTCCTCTACACATGCTCAAAATATGACGACGACAGACTCCCGTTCATAGGCGAATGCCTCGTGGAGGGACAGAACTGGCCACCAAACCCAGCGGAAGTATTTAGCAACAAAAAACTGTGGAGAAGGCTAACGCAATTTGTGTATAAAACAAAGACTCTAAGCACCAATGGCTTCAGTAGAGAGACCACCAGTTCTACCAACTAACTAGCTACAGCCTAAGGATACGCCTTTCGTGGAACAGGAGGTGAGGAAACGGGTAAAGTAATTATGCTAAATGTACGTTGTATAACATTCCTGTAAACACTGGCAGTGCTGTGTAATGTATTGTAACACTGTTTTATTTCTGCTGGTATTGGTTGGGCCACCATCTGTAGTCCGGTACATTTTGTTGTACCCCAGCTGCCAATTCTGTTTAATTTTGTTCGGAATGGTGATCCATTTATGCCAATTGGTGTTTATTTTCTATTGGCCTCCCACTCTCTTCAAAAATGCTACAAATGTGTTACTCTTTATCTTTAAAATTTGTACTGACTTGTAACATTGTACAACTGTTTCCTTCTTAGTTTCTCGTCATCATTGTCATTGGTAACCCTTCGGTTTTTGGGTTGCACCTTCCAATTCTATAAATCAACTGCTACCTGCTGCTTTGTAATTGTCACAAGTCTTCAATGTTTGTATACTATGACAACCACTAAAAATATTATGTAAACATATTGTAATCTTCTAGTTTTATTTCAATAAATGTGATACAGGCACCCATGGGGCCTCCCATGTCTTCCTTTCAAACTTTACTATTACCCTTTCTTTTCACACTTTGACCTGTTGCTTTCTCCTTCTTTCCATTTCCAAATAGGGCAAAGTCCGTAACCACAAACGGACAGCTCTCTTATCTCTTTAACTTGGTGTTTAACTTCGTGGTGGGGAGAATATCACCCACAGTCATTCTAAGAAGTAAACTTAGAAGTGACTGTGACCTTAGAAGAAACTAAGTGTTCAGTCTTATGTTAAATAAAATTTGTAATCTAATTTTGTAAATTTGGGAGTGCTTCAAATATGACGTTAAAACGGTTTTATGTCGTTACAAGTAGGTTTTTTAGCATTATCTAGTATAGAAAAATCGTGGGACCGATAAAAATTTGACGTTATATTAGGGTTATCGTTACATCTGATGATATCATCATGTTAAACTGTATATTGTTTGTGCAAAATAAAAAAAAATAGTTTCTGACGATACAATAGCCACGATTATTTTTTTCAAAAACGAGAAATTTTCGTTACGCATCGACAAAAATTCACCCGGGCCGACACGCAACGGAGAGAAATTTCTAAATTGGATAGGTTAACTTCATCGAAAATGCATCATGGACGACCTCGTGGTCGTGGCCGGCGAAGTTTAAACTATCGCGCCCAAAAGCAGCGATACCAAAGAAGATAGGAGAATGGGAACGAGACCCGCCTTGAACGTGATTCCGCTTAGTAGTGAGTCTCCGAGACATAGTCTTGTCCCAATTACAGTTTTGCCGTTTTACTTGTTATTAATAAATTACAAAGTTTTTAGAACTTTTCTCAGAATGCACATTTCTGTAATTTTTATATAAGATAATATTCATATTGTGACATTATATCTTAAAATATATTTTATGAATAAATGATTGCATTCATAAATAATCATAATTAAAATTAAGAATTATTATAGTTATTTTTTTCAGAATTATTAAATTTTATATATTTTTATTACATACAACTAAAATTACATGTAACTATCCCAATAAATATAAATGATGTAATTATTTTTACCTCTATGTCCTTAGGCCCTGTACACACTAGGCGTTTTTCAACGCGCGTTTAACGCCGAGCTAACGCGCGTTAGCTCGGCGTTTAGCACTGGCTCAGTTTGGAAATGGACGAGAAAGTAATTGATTGTGTGTGCTCCTCCATCGTCGCTATAAGGCAGCACATATATCTCAAAGCGCCCGTAAAGTGCCCGCAAAACGCGCGTTTTAACAAAAATCTATAAACGCGCGCTTGGCGTTTGAGTGTGTACGGCTACATAGAACTCTTGGTTCTTTAAAACGCGCGTTGAAAAACGCCTAGTGTGTACAGGGCCTAACTGTTTTACATTTCTGTGTATATATTATCTACTTGGACCTTCATTATTTAATAGGATTTATTATATTGGCATTTATGATTAGCAGAGAGAGATCTTAGTCAAAAGTCAAAACAGGTGTCTTTTTCTCCTGAGAAAATAAAGATACCTTACATTAAAACCACTAAACACCAGCAGAGTTATTGAAATAGTGCTAACATTTACGCCTATGCCGAACGGTCATCATCAGGCAAACTCAGTAGCGTAGTGGGGGCGGAAAAATTTCACAATAAATAATAATATCTTGTAAGAATTTGAACCATTTTATTTCATATTTTCGTCCACCTACGATTTGGACCGATTGAAATGAGCACGGAATAGTGTTATCAATCGACTCGCCATCCGGGGATATCGTGCTCAACCTGTCGAATTTTTTTTGTTCGTTGCTTGTACGATTCATTCGTACTCATATACACCTCCAATATCCAATAGAGCTAGGTCACTCGCGTTACTCCTATCCAAGTCTCCGTAACTGATTTAAAACCAGCATACACTGCAAATTATTCTTCGCATTGCAAAACGATATACGCATGCGTTCGGAACTTCTGTTCGAACAAACCACACCTGCTGTCCGGGTCAGCGATTTTAAAAAGGTGGCAACAACACTAGCACGGAATTTTTCATTACTTATTCTGTGACGAAACTGAATTTTAGTCTTTTAAATTGAGATACCTAAATAAGGGGGCGGCGAAATTTTCCTCCGTCCCGGGCGGTTGACATCAATGCTACGCCTTTGGGCAAACTAATCCCCCAGCTGCTGAAACAACGGGAGATTGCTATACACGTGGGAAGAGGGGATATGTAGGAAGATAAACTGGAGGGGAAGGATAGTAAGATTTATAGTTCGAAGAAATACTTCCACATTGCTGATAGCCAACTACGACTCTTCGCCTCCGACCCAAACAGCGATGTGGACTTCGATGGGAAAGCCTTTTAGCTCTTCCCGGCAACCTTTTCTCAAACATCTTGAGCAAGTGGAAATTTGCCGTATTTTTGCGGAATTACCGCATAAAAACGGTATGCCGGTTAAACTGAAACTAAAATACAGTGGTGCCTCGTATAACGTACTTAACCCGTTCCAGGTGCACGTCCGTTAAGTGAAAAGTCCGTTATACAAAACGCATTTTCCCATAGAAATATGTGTTAAAACATGTAATTCGTTCCGCAGCATAAAATAACCATACTGTACCATTAAAAAAATGAAAACGGAGCAGTCACCAATTATGTCGGTAGTCAGATGTGAGGAGGAGGTAGAGGAACACTTCACATATTCATACAGATACAGACTTTTTACACATTGTAGCAGGTCTCTTTTTATTGTTTTTTTAATCAGAGTCAGATTCAGGAGAGGCTACTGGAGCTTGCAGGGTCATCTCCTCTTGTTCCCTCCTTTGTTTTTTGGCAGCTTGCTTCTTGAAAAACATGTCCAAGGTGGTCTGTTTCTCTCTCTTTTTCAACACCTATCGAAAGTGACAGGCAAGAGTTATTGTAGAGATCATTGATCCTGTTGGCCTCAGCTCTGTTTGGATAATGAGTGTTGGTAAACTCCTGAATCTCTACCCATTTGACAAGGAAGTTTTTGTCAACTTTCACTCCTTCTGATGATGTCTTGCTTTGTTTCAATTGAGATCACCTTTCTGTTTTTTAGAAGCCATGATTTGCTCAACACTTGAATAAATTAAATATCCTGCACTGAGTGATGTACGTAATAAACAAGAGAGCAAGCCGAATCCCAACGGGAGCTCTGTACTTCAGATATACTAACAATATGTTCTAATAATACTAATATATTATAAAAATAGCAGATTGTCATTGGCAACGGCAAAAGAATGGAAACATCATTCGCACTTATTCACAGAAAGTCCGTTGTTCGCAGCGTACGTTATACGAGGCACCACTGTATAAAATTAATCAGCATCTAACAAAACTAGTTGTTAATTAAACAACTAGTTTTGTATGATCTGAAAATAAAACATTTTTGAGAGTTTAATAAAATTGTAATTTGACTGACTTAAAATCAGGAAGAGTTTTCGTTTACGAGACAATAAAACAGTTAACGACGGGGCTACACTGACTGACTACTAATACAACTAATGTCACCTTACAATGTACTCTGACCTTAAAAATAATATCTTCCTCTAAAATTTCACATAAAGTCAATGTTAATCGGGATAATTTACAGCCAGTTTCTTAAATTTAAACATTCTCTCTCTCTCTCTCTCTAGAGGACTTATTATTAAAAAGTCGAGTTTTTATTCTAAAAGTGTGAAACTCAGTATTACATCAAAACTACGATTATATGTTTAATTTCTTAATTTTGTCTTCTTTCTAACGACTTAAAATACTCATGGAATTTCAA